TCTTGGGGGCCTCCTGGGAGCTTCTTGGGGCGAAAGGCCTGACTTTTCGGTTCGTGGTCCCCTGACTTTTCGGTTCGTGGTCCCCCTCTTGGGACCGTCTTGGGGCCCTCTTGGGCCGTCTTGGGCGCCTCTTGGGCCGTCTTGGGGCCCTCTCGGGCCGTTTCGGGGGCCTCTCGGGAGCCTCTTGGGCCGTCCTGGGGCGGTTTGGGGGGCCTCTTGGGCCGTCGTCGACGCCGTGGAGGCCGAAAAGTCGCGTATGCTCAAGATGCACGTTTTCCTACGGAAAATCAATGATTTTGGCCTCTTTGGGGCCCTCTTGGGACGCCCCTTGGGGCGTCTTCGAGGCCTCTTGGGCCGTCTTGGGCTCTCTTGGAGCGCTCTTGGGCTGTCTTGGAGGTATTTTGGGCCTTTTTGGGCGCCTCTGACGGTCCAAGAAGCGCCCAAGAGGCCTCCAAGACGCCCCGAGCGGCCATTCGATCACATCCCTCCCCCCCTGCCCCCTCCCCTCCCTAGAAGGCTTCGCCCAAACACAACGTCATCACTCGTACCTCGCTCTTTCCGTTACCTGGCCCGGCACAGAAAAACGGAAAGAGCGCTTCAGAAACAGAAAACCGAAATTACTCACACCACCGTTGGTACAGGGAGCCTTGGCTTTGAGAGCTTGTTACGTCACCCCTCGCTCTTGGGAGCCTTGGTGTTCACAGATTGTTGCGTTGCCGCCCGTTCCTGAGCCGTGGCTGGGCCTCGGTGTCAGGAACTTGTTACGTCACCGCTCTCTGCTGGGAGCCTTGGTCTTATCAGCTTGTTTACGTCACCGTTCGCTCTTGGAAGCCTTGGTGTGAAGAGCTTTTTGCATTGCCGATCGCTATTTATTTGGCGTTTATGGGCCTTTTTGGGAGTCCTATTGAGGCCCTTTTAGAGCCCTTTTGGAGGCCTCTTGGGAACCTCTTGGCAGCCTCTTGGGGCTTCTTGGAGGGCTCTTGGGGCCTCCTGGGGGCGTCTTGGGGCGAACAACTAAACTTTTCGGTTCGTAGTCCCCCTCTTGGGGCCGTCTTGGGGCCCTCTTGGGCAGTTTAGGGAGGCCTCTTGGGAGCCTCTTGGGCCGTCTTGGGGCGGTCTTTGGGGCCTCTTGGACCGTCCCCAACGCCGTGAAAGCCGAAAAGCCGTGTATGCTAAAAATGTATATTTTCCTATGGGAAATCAATGATTTGGGCCTCCTGGGGCCTCTTGGGGGCCTCCTGGGAGCTTCTCGGGGCGAAAAGCCTGACTTTTCGGTTCGTGGTCCCCCTCTTGGGGCCGTCTTGGGGCCCTCCTGGGCCGTCTTGGGCGCCTCTTGAGCCGTCTTGGCGCCCTCTTGGGCCGTTTTGGGGGCCTCTTGGGAGCCTCTTAGGCCGCCTTGGGGCGGTCTGAGGCGCCGCTTGGACCGTCTTCAACGCCGTGAAAGCTGAAAAGCAGTGCATGCTAAAAATGTACATTCCCCCATGGGAATGATTTTGGCCTCCTGGTGGCCTCTTGGGACGCCTCTTGGGGGCCTCTTGGGGCTTCTTGGGGGGCTCCTGGGGCCTCCCGGGAGCGTCTTGGGGCGAAAAGCTAGACTTTTCGGTTCGTGGTCCCCCTCTTGGGGCCGTCTTGGCCCGTCTTGGGGCCCTCTTGGGCCGTTTTGTGTGCCTCTTGGGAACCTCTTTGGCCGTCTTGGGGCGGTCTTGGGGGCCTCTTGGGCCGTCGTCAACGCCGTGAAAGCTGAAAAACCGTGTATGCTAAAAATGTACTTTTTCCCATGGGAAATTAATCATTTTGGCCTCCTGGGGCCTCTTGGGGGCATCTTGGGGGCCTCCTGGGAGCTTCTTGGGGCGAAAGGCCTGACTTTTCAGTTCGTGGTCCCCCTCTTGGGGCCGTCTTGGGGCCCTCTTGGGCCGTCTTGGGCGCCTCTTGGGCCGCCTTGGGGCCCTCTCGGGCCGTTTTGGGATCCTCTCGGGCCGTCGTCGACGCCATGAAAGCCGAAAAGTCGCGTATGCTAAAAATTCACGTTTCCCTAGGGAAAACCGATGATTTGGGCCTCTTGGGGCTCTCTTGGGACGCCTCTTGGGCGCCTCTCGGGGCGTCTCGGAAGCCTCTTGAGCCGTCTTTGGGCCGTCTTGGGCATGTTGGACCGTCTTGGAGCCGTCTTGGACCCTTCTTGGACCGTCTTCAGCGCCCAAGACGGCCCAAGAAGCGCCCAAGAGGCCTCCAAGACGCCCCGAGCGGCCATTAGATCACATCCCCCCGCTCCTCCCCCCTCCGGACCCCTCCCTAGAGGGCTTCGCCCAAACACAACGTCATCACTCGTACCTCGCTCTTTCTGTTACTTGGAAGTCCGCGCCCCGCCCCTCCCCTGGAACCCCTCCCTAGAGGGCTTCGCCCCACAAAGACGTCATCACTCGACCTCGCTCTTTCCGTTACCTGGGCCGGCACGGGAAAGGAAAGAGCGCTGCAGGAACTTGCCCGAGATGGCTCCTTTTGGCCGTTGTCGGCCCCTTCGGGGAGCCTCTGGGGCCGTCTTGAGACGATCGTTGGGGCCTCTTGGGCCGTCTTGAGCCCTTCTGGACCTGAAAAGGAAAGAACCCTAACAACCTGCAACAACCGAAGGGCAATTCATGTTTTTGGCCTTCTGAGGTCCTCTCGGGGGCCCTCTGGAGGGCCGTCGTGGGCCCCTCTTCGGCCGTCTTGGGGCCAGCCCAGTCCCCACATCCAAGCAGCCCAGTCCCCACATCCCTCTTCGGGCCCTCTTGGGATTCTGCTTGTTCGCTGCCCCGTGACTGGGGGATGGAGTCGGGAAGGAACTGCTTTGCCTCCAAGTTCAAGGCGGCGTCTCCTGTGTCTGGCAGCATATGCCTCCTGCGGGGTGCATCGTGGAGCTGCAGGCCGGCCTGGCCAGGTCCGTGGTGACCCAGGAACGGTCGCCAGGAGCACTGGCCAGGTGCACCCCCCCCGGAGGGAAGCGGATTGCAGCAGGCACGGAAAAAGGTGTAACACATGCGCAGGGGGCGGGAACGCTAGACCCCGACCCTACGAACAGGGCGCCTGCGCTCGAGCCGAATCCAGCAAAACGCCCTAGGAGCAGGGAGGACGAGCCGAGCCCCACGACCCCGCAGAAGCCCCTGTCCCGAGCGCGCAGCCCCCTGAGAAAGGACGCCGCCTCTTGCAGCCCTCTGGGGGCTCTGTTGGGGCCGTCATGGCGCCTGCCTGGGCCGCTTGGGGGCCCTCTTGGGCCATCCTGGGGCCCTCTTGCCGACGAGGGGGCCCGCTTCACAAGAGAAAGCACGAGGGACGCTGGCCATTGGACGTTTCGCCCGCGCCTCGCCCCTCCCCTGGAATCCTTCCCTAGAGGGCTTCGCCCCACAAGCACGTCCTCACTCGTACCTACCTCGCTCTTTCCATCACCTGGGCCGGCACGGGAACAGAAAGAACGCTGCAAGCGCTTGCCCGAGATGGCTCATGGCACCCTTCGCTCCTTGGAGCCTGCGCGGCCTGGGATAAAGTGTCCGAAACCCGACGAGCTTTCCCGTGCGTCTCTCGAAATGTTGTGCAACACAATGGTTTGTTGGCATGTTCCTGAAGGCGCCGTCCTGGGAAACAAATCGGCGCTGTGGCTGGAGCCCCATCGATGTGTACGTATGCAATGTTACATCGGTGTTGCAGGGATTTGCAAGGACACACGGGGATAACGCTGGGTTTTCCAAGCAAGTCAAAACTACAATGAGCTTTGGTGTTAAGAGCTTGTTCCTTCACCGCTCTCTGTTGTGAGCCCTGGTGTTCAGAGACTTTTAGGTTGCCACTCGCTCTTCGGAGCCTTGCTATTTAGAGCTTCTTACGTCACCACGCTCTGGGGAGCCGTGGTGTTCAGAGCTTGCTCTGTCACCGCTCGCTATTGGGAGCCATGATGTTACTTGGCGTCTGTGGGGCTTCTTGAGGGTCTTTTCGGGGCCCTGAGGGGGCCCTTTTAGTCCGTCTTGGGGCTTTTGGGGGCCGTCTTGGGGCTCTCTTGGGGGCCTCTGGGAGCCTTCTTGGGAGCCTCTTTACGCCCTGGCAAACTCCTGCACAAATTCGCAAAGCCCGGCATCATCCGACATCTGAGACCCCCACCGGGCCTGGTGGCCGTGCAAGGACGAGGCGATACAGGAACGCCACCCCCGACGGCCGCCGCGATTGACGAAGCGCACTCCATGCTACGCATTCGAACATTGGCCCCTTGTTGCCCATCGGCTGTGGGCCATCTTCGGCGGTCTTCTGAGAGGTCTTCGGTGGTCTTCGGCAAGAAAGCTGGAAGGCTGCGCTCAACAACGGATCCATGATCGAACGCCCAATCCCTGCGGAAATTCGCAAGACCCGGTGCTCCCGCTCGAGCTCCCTGGCGTTCTTAAGCTTCTCGACGCCGCCCTGCTCCGTGGCCGTCGTGGCGAGTCTGGCAGCGACACCTGCACCGGCCCCCTGAGGTCTGACCTGGCAGAGGCATCGAGATGGTTGGGCGGGGTGCCCTGCCACCCTGCTGCAGCCATGCAGCCCCACACAACAGAAGGATGAAGGAGTATGAGGAAGGAAGGATGAGGAAGGAGGGCGAAGACGAGGACGAGCAGGAGGAACCCCATGGCCCCCCGTGTGATCGCGCTGGAAATTGATCCCCCTCCTGGTCACACCCGTTCACTGCCAGCACCCTCCCTTTGTGCCCTGATACTGTCTTCCGGCTGGGACCAATTCTCTTGCGTTACCCATCGTTTCGTGATCTTCGGCCCTCCTCCCCACCTGATCCCCACGAAAAAACTGCATCTTCTTCTTCTTCCTCCTCCTCCTCCTGCTCCTCCTCTCCCCCTCCTCCGCCCCCCACCATCAATTAGCGAACGAATGCAGATGCATCCTTGTAGCCCTGTGGGCATAGGTGCTCCACCATCGCCTCCCCAGCAAGCCGAGGTGCAGCAGAATGCTAAAGTGGTTCTTGTGAGTCTTCTGAGGCCCCCTTCCCCCCACGCACCACATCCCCTCGCGTGCATTGCCCTCCCCCCCCTCCCAGAGGTTCCCAGACGCCCCGACGCATCCTTCGCGCTCCCTATCGGGCCTCCATGGTGCCCAGGATGGCTTCCAAGACGGCCCAGGCGGGCCCCCAATGCCGCCAGGGTGGCCCAAGATGCCAGGAGGGTCCGAATAATATTAAGGAGCGGTGTCCGTAAAGTCAAAGTGTTGGACTGTTAGCCAGCGTGGCCCCCAAACAGAGTGTTCCTACATCGCCGTTGCAAACATATGATGTGGCCTGATGGGAAAACCAACATAATTGATGATACTAAGGTTTTGGCCACGTTATGGCCTTTTGGGGAAGGGACCCTGATGCACTACAGGTCCTGCTTTGATCGATCTCATGTAAGATGGCCCACGAGGCTCCCAGGGATGCGCCAAGACTGCCCCGAAAGGTGCCCATGAGGCCCCAAGAAACACCCAAGAGACCCCCAAGTTGCCCCCAAGAGGCTCCCAAGAGACCATCAAGAGGCCCCAAGAAGCTCCCAAGAGGCACCCACGACGCCGCAAGAGGCCATCGGGGCTGCGAAAAGACCCCTACGACACCCCAACTGGACTCCAAGAAGCTCGCGGAAGAAATCCGAAGAGAGTCCGAGAGGCATCCAAGAAGTTTCTGGCATTTCTGCTCGCCCCCCTGCCTCCTCCTCCTCCTCCTCCTCCTCCTCTTCCTCCTCCTCTTCCTCCAATTCCTCCTCTCCCTGGGGCTTACGCTGCTCCTCAGTGGGGGGCCCCAGAAGGACCCGCTGTCCTATGTCACTGTGGCGGCGGTCAAGACTTTTGTTTCTGCCTGGTGGAATAAGTCTGTCTCGAAGGCTGTGTTGGCCTCTGCGTTTCAGGATGCCGTGCGAGTGTCGGCCAAGGTGAAACCTTGGAGTGCCGCCAGCCAGCCAGTGGCGGCGTTGGTGCTCCCTTTGGCAAGGATTAGATGGCGTCTCGATTTTGAAAACGAATCGCTGATTGATTGTCTTGGGAGGTCTTGGGACCTGTCGACCTTCCCGCCATCCTTTTTCGAGTTGCGCGTTCGTGAAGCTGTCGCCGATGCCATCGTGGCTGACGAGCAGGCACGTCAGTCCCACTTCGGAAGCGAGTGGGTTGGACCGATGTGCCTCAGGCCAGCCCTGGACTTGTTGTCGTGCGATTCGGCTTCGTGGACGGCTCACTGCCGCAACTGCCTGAGAGGCCTTGTGGCCAACAGGTACTGGTGCCAGCAGCGCTTCGCAGAGCGCTGCCAGGACATCTCGCATGTGTGTCTTTTGTGCAGCGAGATCCCCGGGACGCTGTTTCATCAACGATTCAAGTGCCCTGCGCACGCCGCGTGGCGTAGGGACTGCCTGGGCCCTGACCTGGGGGCTGCTGCAGTCGTCGTTTCAACTTTAGCCCCGCGGGCCCAGGAACTTTTTGCTCGCGGAATACTGCCTGACCCGACGTGCTGGTTCAGAACCCCGCCCGGCCTCCCAGAGGACACCGTGTATAGGTTCAATTGGCCTGCGGGGGGGCTGATTTTGGAGGCGGGGTCCCACGTGTTCACTGACGGCTCAGCTTTCGAGCCCCTACTGCCCCAGATTCGGGCTTCGGGATGGGCGGTGGTTGTGACGGACGGGTGGGGGAAGGTCTTTCGTGCGATCTGGGGGCGGGTGCCCCGCAGCGTTGCCCCAGACCAGGTTGCTCGTGATGGCGAGGATTTCGCCGTTGTCTCACTCGTCCGCCACGCTCTGGTGTCGCCTGGAGTCAACCTTCACATCGATTGTTGTGGTACGGCCGATCTGGCCCGCGATCCGTCCTCTGCAGTGTGCCCAGATAATGCTCGGTCGCACCTGTGGCAGCATGTGCACGATAAGCTGGACGGAGTCCTGGTTCATAAGGTGTCTGCTCATTGTTCGGAGCGCGAGGTGCTGGAAGGAAAACTGAGCCGCCTCCAGCTGCTAGGCAACCGTGCCGCGGACTCGTGTGCGAAAAACGGTGCTGAGCTAGGTAGGCTCGCCCCCGAGGACCTCCTTGTGGTTGAGGGTTGCCATGAGATGGCCCGCCTTGTTTCCAGATTCGCTGCCGAGCAGGAGGCTCGGATCGGAAATTCGAAGGTGGTTGACCACGTGAGCCTAGATTGGCTCAAGCATGTGGACCTCGACCTTGATCCTGCTCTCCCTCCACTTCCTCCTTGTGGCGGGGACGGGCGGGGCAGTGCGGGCGGGACTGGGGAGGATCATGAAGCGGCCCCTCTTGGGCCCCGGCAGGCGGCGACCCAGTCGGAGACCGCCCCTGCTGCCGCTGTCTTGTGGCCGGAGCTGGCCCCTTGGCCCGCCCGGAACCATTCGGTTCTGGAGGCCGCAGTCTTCGACTCGAATGGGTCGGCCGCTGGCTCGATCGCCCTGTGCTCTTCGTGCGGGGCCGTGTGCCAGATAGGAGGCCACTGAGGTAGGTCTGCTCTCGCGTCGGATTGCCTGCACGCGTGCTCCACAGGTCATGACAGGCAATTGACTTGGATTTTGCGCGGGGACCATCCGTCTCGCAAAGGCTTCCGTGTCGACAGGCCGACTGTGATTTCGGAGGCATCGAGGGCCTGGCTGGCACCCAAGATGGGGCTGGAGCAGCAGCCCGCCCTTGCACGGCCGCCTGCCGAGCGCTTGGCGCCGACGGCTCCTACTGGGATGGGGGTGGACTTGGCGAGGGGATTGGCGTTGTTCGGCTTCCCGGATCGGGCTACGGCCGAGGCCCTCGGTGCCCGTGCTGTGGAGCACAGGAACCGTGCGGCTCGAGCCGAACTCGAAGTGGATTCGTTTGAGTTTTAACCCCGACCTGTGGGGCGTCCTTGGCCCCAGGTGGCGACCTCTTTGAGGCCGATGTGCCGCCGCTGTCTTGATGCATGTTGGAATGCGATCGCTTCCCCAGCGGGTGCCGGACTCGTCCTCCACCTCCTCGTCCTCCTCCTTCTCCTCCTCCTCCTCCTCCTGTTCCTGCTCCTGCTGCTCCTGGTGCTCCTGCTGCTCCTGCTGCTCCTGCTGCTCCTGCTCCTCCTCCTCCTCCTGCTCCTCCTCTTCCTCCTCCTCCTCCTCCTCCTCCTCCTCCTCCTCCTCCTCATCCACATCCCACATCCCCACCTCATCTTCCACATCCGCCTCTTCCTCCTCCTCCTCCTCCTCCTCCTCTTCCTCCTCCTCCTCCTCCTCCTCCTCCTCGTCCTCGTCTCCTCCTCCTCCTCCTCCTGCTCCTCCTCCTCCTCTCCTCCTCCTCCTGATCCTCCTGATCCTCCTCCTCCGCTCCTGCTGCTCCTGCTGCTCCTGCAACTGTTCCTGTTCCTGCTCCTCCTCCACCTCCTCCTCCTCGTCCTCGTCCTCCTCCTCCTCCTCCTCCTCCTCCTCCTCCTCCTCCTCCTCCTCCTCCTCCTCCTCTTGCTCCTCCTCCCCCTCCTCATCTTCCACATCCACCTCCTCATCGTCCACATCCGCCTCCTCCTCCTCCTCCTCCTCCTCCTGCTCTTCTTCTTATTATTAGTATGATTATTCTTAGTTTTCTTCTTATTATTCTTATTGTTCTTCTTCTTCTAATTATTAATATTCTTCTTCTTATTATTATTCTTCTTCTTCGTCTTCTTATTATTCTTCTTATTCTTCTTATTATTATTCTTATTATTCTTATTATTCGTCGTATTATTATTATTCTTCTTCTTATTATTATTATTAGTATTATTACTAATAATATTATTATTATCATAATTATTATCATAAGTATTACTATTATTATTATTAGTATTATTATTATTGTTATTATTAGTATTATCATTATTGGTATTATTATTAGTAGTATTATTAGTAATATTAGTATTATTAGTATTCGTAGTATTGTTATTCTTATTGGTATTGTTAGTGTTATTGTTATTGTTATTGTTATTGTTATGGTTATTGTTGTTATTATTGTTATTTTTGTTATTGTTAGTGTTATTGTTGTTATTATTATTGACATTAGTAGTATTATCATTATTATTATAATTATAATACTAATAATAATAGTACTAATTATTATTAGTATTATTTTTATTGGCATTAGTAGTATTATTCGTAGTATTAGTATTATTCGTCTTATTATTATTATTATTATTATTATTATTAGTATTATTCTTATTATTATTAGTAATATTTGTTTTCTTGTTCCTCCTCCTCCTCCTCCTGCTGCTCCTACTGCTCCTGCTGCTCCTGCTGCTCCTGCTGCTCCTGCTGCTCGTGCTGCTCGTGCTGCTCGTGCTGCTCGTGCTCCTCGTGCTCGTCGTGCTCCTGCTGATCGTGCTCCTCGTGCTCCTCGTGCTCCTCGTGTTCCTCCTCCTCCTCCTCCTCCTCGTCCTCCTCCTCCTCCTCCTCCTCCTCCTCCTCCTCTCCTCCTCCTCCTCCTCCTCCTCCTCCTCCTCCTCCTCCTCCTCCTCCTCCTCTTTTTCGTCGCTCCTGCTC